AATAAATTAGCCAGGCATGGTGGTGTGTGCCTGTAGTCCCAGCTACTTGGGAGGCTGAGGTGGAGGATTGCTTGAACCCAGAAGGTCAAGGCGGAAGTGAGCCATGATCGTGCCACTGCACTCTAGCCTGGGTGGCAGAGCAAGATCCTGCCTCAAAGAAAACTTCCACAAAAAAGCAAACAAAAAATAAACAACAATAACAACAATGAGGTGAGTCAGAATCAGAATCTACATTCCAGTCTCCAGGTGTGCGGGTCTTAGAAGCAGAGCGGCCTAGCCACCATGCCTACACATGTGCATGGGAACTCGCTGAAATCAGAAATGGGAACCTCACCTAGATGGAGGTCAGGAATTTGTTATTTTCTCTTTTCTCCTTCTTAGGGAAAGCTTAGTCCATTGTTTAGGATGAAAAATAACAACCAGATGAACGAAAGATCATCAGGAGTGATGAATAATGCGCTCCAGATGTGGCTGTGGAGATCTGGGTCTGGACGGGCACCGCTGCCTCTGAGTAGTCACCTTGTGGGGAGACCCCCTTATTTCAACAAGGTTGCAGTGACACAGACAATGTTTTGCAGCTCTTGTTCTGGAATTGTGTTCGGAGTATGTGACTCAGTTTTTTTTATCGTCCTTATTGGTGGTAGAGCTTTATCCTTTGCTTTTTTGGAATCAGTCAGCCAAAAATATATATATCAGTTAATAATGGCTGCCTTGAATACTTTGTAAACCAGCTCTGAAGTCAGTTTCAAAAGGAGACTTTGCAGAAATGTTTGAATCAATAGAGCCACATATGGAATGAGTGTATGTTCTCTGGAGGTGACTGTTTTGAAGTTTGTTAAAAGAAGCTAATCACAGATATAAAGTCCATATTGTATTCTGTATAATAAAATAATGTAATATGATGTTGAAGGCAGTATGCTAACTACCTCCTCCTCCTGCTATTATGAATTAATACCTCTAATAATGCATTTGCTTTTGCCAAGGAAGGGAGGGAATAGAGGCATGGAGGCTGTGTCTACACAGGCAGACCCAAGTGAAGAAATGGTGCAGTGATTCAGGGAGAAGGTTGGGCTCCACCTGCACGTGAGAGTTGCCTAACTCTGCACTGCTTTCTGGACTAGCTCTGTCTTCATTCTTCCAGAGGATGTGGTCAACTGGGCAGGGTGCACAGCCCTCTTTTAGAGGGGAGATGAATTTCTTAGCTTGGTTCTCTGTCATTCACCTGCAAAAATCAGCACTAAGATCTAAGAGAGCGAATCATAAATCAGTTCATAAATTATACTTTTCACAAAAGTGGAGGAAGTGAGGTCAAAATGAACGTACATAGCAAGCTTGTTCATACAGTTATTAGTTAACCTAAATGAAGAACTCTTTGGTTGAGGAAGTTTCTAGAACTTTCCTTTCCTGAGGAAAGACCAGGAAGAAATGGGTAAGCATCAGATCAGGGAGACAGGATCTTCCCTTTCTCTCCTTTTGGGAAAACCCTGACTGTGGGCCTGTGTGGGATTTTGGGTGTGATGGCCGGGTCTGGGGGCAGAGGGGGGTGAAGTGACCTCCAGGAGGCCTAGCCAGTGGGACGCTCAGTGCTCCTTTGCTGATAGACCAAGCTGCAAATCAGGAATTTATTAGGAGCTGAGACTCATTTTCCCACCCTTTATAGCCCTGATGACTCAGAGCCAAACTCTGGCAAGGGGCTTCCTCGTGGTTTTAATTAGACAATTAATTTTTTATTGCATCGTTTGATTTCCAGAGCCGATTCCACTCTCCCTCTTGTCCCCCACCTGCCTCCCAGCTGTGAACAGCAAAGGAGAGACAGGGGGATTCAGGGAGAGCGCAGAGAAAAAAAACCCTGTCTGCCTTTGAGCTGATTTAGGAGTGGTGGGGAGGCGGTGGGAATCCTCTACCACCCCAGCTTGTCTAGCACAAGAGACACTGTCCAGAGCCCAGACCTGGGCTCTCAGAGCCTGCACAAAGGCATGCTGAGCTGCTCCTCCGAAGCTTCTCCCTGCTGTTGCGCTAATTAGTAACACAGGGTGGGGGTGGGGGCAGGGAGCAGTGCCCCGAAATACATTAGCGGCATTTCTGTGGTTAATCCTGGCCCTGCTTGGAGGCTGTTTACCCTCTGCCCAGGGATTAGGAACCTGTTTGAGTTATAAGGGCAGGGAGAGGCCAGTGCTTGGCTCTGTCCTCCACCTGTTTTCAGGAGCTGGGGCGGGGGTGCTGAGCCAGCGAGGGGTGGGGGAGCAGTGAGAGAAACCTGTCTCCAATCTGTCTCCCCTTATTGATCTCCTGCCTTCCAGCAGCTTGGCCTGCTTTTGAATCTTGATCCTTCCCCCCACCACCCGCCCCAAGCTTCACCCCTCACCGCTGCCCTTGTCAAATATCACTCTGGCTTAGAAAGGTGGAGAGGAAGGAAAGAGGGAGAGGATGCAGTGCTTTAGCAGCAGTGGGGATGAGCCTGGCTGTGGAAAGGCCCCCTATATGCCACGTGTGTTCTCTCAGAGGAGTAGGGAGCCCCCCTCAAGATTTCTGACTATACTCATATTCTGCCCTGAAAGAAGAGAAGGCTAGACTCTAGGAAGAACTTACTTTCAGTAGCAAAAACAGGTAGCTCCTTCTTTAGAGTTTTATACTATGCCGAGCCCAAATATTTCACTGAGAGCACCATTGCTCAGAGGCCTTAAAATGGAATGGAGAGAGCTGTTTCCTCAGGTGTCCTGTTGGTGGGGACATTGTCACTCATTGTTTCAGTGCAAGGGCTCTTTCTGGAAGTGTGTGTTCATGTACTCATAAACACCCACCCACATACACACCACGAGCACTGGCGCACTTGTGCAGGCATGCACGCCACCAGGCACGACCCGTCAGTATGCCAAGGCTCCAGGTGATCCACAGAAAGGTGTGCACGTGCTCACACACACACACCCCGACAAAACCAAACCGAATCCCAGAACCAAGATGACAAGCATCCGCAGACACAGAAGTGGCTCTGAGGAGCCTCCAGGGCTCTTGCAGGTAAAGCAAGCTCTCCGAAAGACTAGACCAGGATGCCATTGAAGCAGAGGGGCTCTGGCGGCCTCCTTGTTCCTTGCATTCTCCTCTGGGGTCAGAGCAATATCAGCATTGGTGAATGTGTGCTCCCCACCTGACATTGTGGGTCTGGAAGGGCATACATTTCTCATGGGGCCCAGGACTGCAAGAAAAGTAGGATGTATTTATACCGGACTGTGAGGGACACAGAGATGAAAGGACCCAAACATCAAAGGATCCCCAGAAGCTCGGCACACAGACCTCTGGATCTAGGATTTGTTCTGTAAACAGGGTGTCTTCTCCTTCTGGGAAAGCTCACGGTTGAGCAATCCCTCTGCTGGGGCTTGAGGTGGTTCCACGCTGGGAGTGAGGGATAAGCCTCCTTGAGATGAAGCCCTGCCTCAGTGGTGGGGGGCACATCTCTGACAGCCTGACCACTCCCTCCCAAGTTATGCATAATGGGATTTAGAAATCCACAGAAGAAAGGGACAGAAAGGCTGTGTGTATGGGGTGTGGGGGCCAGGCCCAGTATTACTCGCTGACATGTGTGCTTCCATATGGCCCCACAGCGGAGAGACGTGAATTCAGGCCTTCCAGCACTCGGAGCACTGGGCTAAGGCTGGGGTGTGTATGCATGGGGATCCTGAGGTTGGTACCTCTGGGACAGTGAGGACAAAGGGGCCAGGAGAGCAGGCAAAACTCCCCCAGGGAGGCCATGCAGGGCTCAGTGTCTATCTGTGGGGAGAGTAGAGATGAAGAGAAATGGTGAAAAGAATAGGAGAAAGAGAAGAAATAAAAATGAAGGCACTGAAACAGAAAGAGAGAGCTAACAGATCCACACAAAGAGAGGCCGGGAAACACCGCCTGAGCCTGAGGAGCGGGTGGTGGGCAGCAGGAGGCGGGTGAGGGAGAGCCTCGGGAGGCGAGCAGCCAAAACAATCGGCCAGGCTTATGGCTGGAGAGGTGGGCAGGACGGCAGGGAGCAGAAGGGGCTGCAGAAAAAAATCCTGCTCTCCGGGCATGGGAGAGGCGGCAATTGAACCTGCTTCATCCAGCATTTCCCCTGCTCTTCTCTGAGACCCCAGGGCTGAGATTGACGGGCCTGCAGCTTCTCTGGGTCCTGGGTGGATTTGAATAATTAAGTCATCTGGATTCTTATGATTTACCATTTTCAATGATAAATAGACAGCGCCCAAGCCAGCCAGTTGGCAAAACTCTGGCTGCTAGTTATAATTTGTCAAGCTGCCAGGAGATTCATGTTTTATGCTAATGGAGGGGGACTCATTGACTAGGGGGAGGCAGTGACCGGGTCAACTCTTTCCTCAGGCACCCCAGAGGTCGAGAGGTCGGGGGAGAAAGGCCGAGGCTGGTATGGATTTTCTGTAAGGGTCAGTGTAATTTTATAATAATTCAGCGGGTACACACACTCTCACATACACTGAGGGTCATGTATGGAGAGATATGTTCAGATTTGCATGCACCCCTCCCCCCTCCACACACACACCCCAGCACCTGTGCAGGGGTCTGAGCCCGGTGTACACAAGCCTGGCACAGGCACGCTTATCTGCCCACCTTCAGCTCACGCACACGCACACTCACACCCTTGCTGTCACCTTCAGACACGTGATTACATCAAGGCAAACTCACAGACCTGCTCTTCAGCCTGGAGAAACGTGTATCACCTCTACCCTCCCACACGGCTGACTGAGCAGTTTTGGAGGGCCCCACGGCCCACCATCCCAAACCCTTTATTTCAGGCTTTCATGGAGGCAGGTCTCAGCACACGCCTCTTGCTCTTATTCTAACCTTTTTCCAGTGGGGAAAACAAATGGGCCCCAGGGAAGTCCTGCTTGTCAACCAGCTGGGGCTGGGTAGCTGGAGCTGGGAAGTCGGGGGCTCTGAGACCCCGCGGGCTCTGAGACCCCGCACACGGAAAGCTGCAATGAAAATCAGTGGACTCCGAACCACACTTTCTTTTCCATTGGTTTATTTGTATATTGGTCCACAACACAGTGAAGCCTCACAGTGGCAAGGATTTTTTTTTTTTTTTTGATAGTTGGGGCAAATTGAGGTAGAGACAATTTTTGGCACAGAGTAGGTACTAGATAAATATTAGTGGAATGAACCGCTGAAGCGACTGACTTCTAAATGGAGCAGATTGTTCATTTCGATTCTATTCCTCCACCTCGACAAACCTTTACATCCTCACTGGTTTGTGAGGCCAGAGAACAGGTGTGGCCTTTGGTGTGATAAGAAATGCTAATTTTATATCAACTGAAGCAATCTGGTCTCAATTTTGACCCTCAAATGCCCTCAAAATGGATCAATGAGCCAGGGAGGCTTGAGAAGGAGGGAGCATCTGCCCTTCCTCCTGCCCAGAAGAGAATTTGAATTTGCTGTGAGTAGCTTATGGGCAGGGCTGGAAGCTGCAGTTCATTACTGTCAGCAGCTTTGAGGCTGGTGGAGGCATGGGGAAGCATCAGGGGCTTGGGAGAAGACATTTCATTTCCCTGTACCCCACCACCCCAACACGAGGGAGAAAAACACAACAGCAAACTGAACAGAGCAGAGGCCGAGGCAGCAGGGAGAACCCAAAGACAGAAGCTGCTTCTAGCCATCAGGCTCCAGGACGAAGCTATGGCTCTCAGCTCTGCCCACTGAGATTCCGTATCCTGTGAAGCGAGTCAGGTTCCTTTCTTCCTGCCAGGCTGGAGTAAGGAGGCTGTTCTAGGCAGGCAGTCTGCAGCCGCTCACCAACCTCTGGAACAAGCTGCCTTCCTTCTTTGCGGAGCAGATGTAGATGGTGGTGGGTCTGGCTAATCAGGGGTGTTCCGTGGAAAGATAGCCAAGAGCCAGAATTGCCAGCCTCTCCATTCCAAGGGATAGATGACCCCTAAATGCATCAGGAATAGGGAAATATGCTTTGCTTATTTAAGAGTTTGAGGTTCCGACCTGGCATCATTGACCTCACTCTCATTCACCCTGGGAGAGTAACAGCCTAGGGGGCATCAGCAATTCCATTTTCAGGAGCAGGGACAGGCTGACGGTGGCTTGCAGATGGCTGGGAGTGCAGAAGAATTGTCTAGGGGTAAGCCAAGGGGATGTGAAGGTCATAATCATGATTACTACATAAAACCAATTGATACATCCCACATCTGGTTAGCAAAGCTTACTCCTCATTTCCCTCCTCATTTTTTTTTGAGAAAGAGTTTTACTCTGTCAACCAGGCTGGAGTGTAGTGGCACAATCTCAGCTCACTACAGCCTGTGCCTCCTGGGCTCAAGCAATCCTCCCACCTCAGCCTCCTGAGTCGCTGGGACTACAAGCACGCTACCATGCCTGACTAATTTTTGTATTTTTAATAGAGACAGGGTTTTGCCATGTTGCCCAGGATGGTCTTGAACTCCTGGGCTTAAGCAGTCCTTCCACCCTGGCCTCCCAAAGTGCTGGGATTACAGGTGTGAGCCACTGAGCCCAGCCACCCCCACCCCATCTTCTTATCCTGCTATTGCATCCCGCATAATGAACTCTTGAGGGCAGGGTGCATGTTAACCAGCCTAAAGGGCTCCGAGCAGAGCCGTTTCGGGTACGAAGATAGTATAAGATCCCCAACCTGGACTGGATGAAAAGGGAGACAGAGAAATCGGAAAGGGTGGAAGGAAGAGAGAAAGAGAAATAAAGGAAGGAAGAAGCTAGAGCAAAGAGGGGAGGAAAAGCTTAAAGAGCAACGCTGGGCAGTACTGGTCAGAGGCCTCCCTGAGAGGGCACTGCAAGGTTTACTATGAACACATCTTTCTAGCCAGTGGTTTGGGGGTGCCCCAGCCCATCCTCAAGGCTTCCACTGCCCTTGGAAGAACTGGCTGACCTCAGTGACCTGCCCCATTCCACTTTTGGAAGACAAAGGAATTGGCACTAAGAAGCCTTGTGAATCAACCAGAGCACATGAGCAGGGCGTGGAGAGTGCAGGCCCAACAGCCTAAAGATACCCAGCAACCCCAAGTGATCCTCTCTGTAGCTGAATAAAGTCCCCTTACCAATTAGTCTCTTTGTGTGTGTGAATTCAGTGAAATCTACTGCAGACCTAAGGTCCACTTGCCCTGGTAGGGAATGTCTTCCTTCCCTTTCATGTATGAGATCCTTTCTCTGGCTCTTCCAGGATTTGCAAACCTCCTGCCAAGCTCTTAGAAGATAAATCCAGCCCCTCCTGGCATGGAGAAACTCCCTGACTTGGAAGGTGGTTTTCTGGGGCAGGGGTGAGGATAAGGAAAGCAAAGGAGGCAGACTTTTCTTCTGACCAATGGAAGAAAATGAAGATCTCTCTCCCAGCCCCCACCTTTGCAAAGTGGACCAGGCCTTATCTTCAACCCTCTCTCACGTGCACATACCCAGGCACGCTCACCCAAACTAGAGAAAAACCCTCTAGTGCAATGGGCTCATTTAACAAATGATCAAACTGAGTCCCAAGGTCACAGAACGACAGCACCTCCAAGCTGAGAACGAAGCTGCCCAGTCTCCAGACAGCCTCTGCCAGCAGGGTCAGAAGGGAAGCGCTTGGGACCGTGGGTGAGGGGATTGAGCCCGGGAGAAGGGGCCGCCAGCGTGGGAATCTGCAACCAGTCCCTGCCTCGCTGGCCTCTTCTACTTCATGCGCAGTTTTTAGAACCAGATCTTGACCTGCGTGTCACAGGGCCTCAAGGCCACGCGTCCAGCTTGGCGGGCCGTACCGGGAGCAGGTAGGGCTACAGGAACAACTCCAGGTAGCTCAGCTGCTTTGAGAAGCCCGTAAGCAGGCGACCGGCCTCTGCCTCTACTTCCCACGTTTCACAGGCCGCCGTCACTCAGGGCTGGGTCCTGGAGATGGTGGAGCGGTCGTGGTAGGTCAGGACCCCGGCAGCCCAAGGTGAAGCTAGGAGAGGCCGCAAGTGGCCTCTTTCTGCTCACCCTTCATCTCCTCTTCCCTCCTCATGCTCCTCAGGAACCCGGCCCCTTTTTGTTAACTGTTAACCTCAGCTGAGTTCGTGTTTCTCCTTCTTTCTGCCCCCCTTCTCCTCACGCCCCTTCTTCCTTCTTTATCTCACTGTATCTTCATTTCTCATTTTCCCTTTCTTCTTTTGCTTCATTTCTGCCCTACCTTCACTTTCTCTTTTGCCTCCATTCCTTTCCCTTTCCCATCCTTCTTTCCCTTCCTTCTTGCCCTTGTGCCTATCTTTCCTCCTTGTCTACCTTTCTTTCTTTCTGTTTCCCTTCCGTTTCTTTTTTCTCACTTTTACCTCCCTTTCTTTCCCTTCCTTTTTCTTTTACTCTCTAGCTCCCCCCTTTCATTTGCTGTTTCTTTCCCTATTTTTCTCTTTTCTCTTCCTTTCTGCCTTTATCTCTAATCTTTTTTCTATTTTAACAGGGCACAGACTATCTCCAATCTTAAAAATGCAAACAAACCTAGTCCTGCTTCTTCCTTCTGCCTTTTATCAATATTCCTTTCATGTTACCTCCATCCCAGCCACCCTCCACCCTGCAGAGTACCTTTCTGTCTGCAGCATTAGGGCCTTTTCATCTCTCCCAGTCTCTTCTCTTTGTTGTTCTGATTTTTCCAGTCCTTTGTGCTGTTTTCCTAGACCTTCTTCCTATCTTCCTTTGTTTCTAGATTCCCTCTCGGCAATAGGCACATGGCATAACACTGGCCCCTCCCCAGGCGAGGTTTTTGTCCTGTGTCAGCCCAGTCATCCTTCATGCATTTATTTCTCAACTCCTCTCAACTTGAGACTCAATCTCAAGGGCCTGGGAATAGAGCTGTTTCCCCGTTTTCCCCTACGTGAGAAGTCAGGATTGGGTCCACAGTTCCCCACTACAGGCTTAGGGAAGCCTTGCCAAACTGCTGTCACTCCATCAATCCTAAGAAGAAAGGGGAAGAGGAGAAAGGAAAGAGGAAAAGAGAGATATTCCCATAGATCTGTGGGATTGGGTTGGGGGAGGTGGGGCAGGGGGGTAGCACTGGAGAGGCAGGAGCAAAAAGGACCACATTCATCAAAGGGGGAGTGGGGTAGGCAGAGGACCAGACATACCCCTCAGAGCACACAGAGCCCCAGCAGCCTGCAAGACTGCTCCCAAGCCGGCTCCCACATTTGCTTTGGGACTGGGGATGGATGAGGCCTTCCATCTAAATCCTCTGGGCTGCAGAGGTGTGAAGGGCCACCGGATGTGAGGACAGAGAAAAGGGCTTACATTCATTTTGAATATCAGCGGCCTCAAAGACCCCTTTTTCGGGAGACCAAGCCAAACTCCTTGTAGGCAGTGCCAGCCAAAGCCCTCCTAAACTGCTCAGCTAGGCCGTCCAACTCTTCTGGGGCTTGCCAATGAGCAGATGCTGAGCAGCTGCCAGACTAGCTGCTGGGCCACCAGGAAGAGGTTTTCCACCAGCAGAAAAACTTCAGGAAGAGTGAAAACAAAGTCCTGGACAGATTCTCGGCTTCTGACCCGGCAGGGCCTAGTAGCATCTGGAAGTGTGGGCCCAGGAAGGGCCAGAACACCACGTGTTCCCGTGGGAATTTTCTCTCCTGGGATCCACATCCCTTCCTGGCCCTTTCCAAGGAGTCCAAATGTGTTCTCTGCCTGGCTCCTCCAGCCTGGGGCTTCCCAGGAGGGGCCCAGCCTAAGGCACAGTACAGACCCTCCCCGGCCGGCTGGCCTGGCTGGACCTCTGCCCAGGGACACCACGGGCTCCAGGGTACCTCACACCCCCTCCCCCTGCAGCGGCCTCTGCCCTCCTCCACTTGCCCAAGCCACTCAAGAGCTTCTACACCTTCGTGGGCCTGCCCCTCCTGCTTGTCCTGGGCCCCAAGTTCAGCTGTGTCCTCTGAACCTCCTGCCCTCTGCTCTTGACTGCCCTTTGAAGAGCCTCTCCATCCCTTCCTCCTGGGGCATCTCTTGGGTGGGGGAGGAAATCTCAGCCCTGGGAGGGGAGTTGGGGCCTCTTTTCCTTGCCCTCTTTTGGGAGCTGGAGAAGACCTGGAAGTTGTGCTAGAGGTGGGAGGGGGCACTCTCTGGGTTCCATCTTAAGGAAATGGGTCTCTGACTCAAACTGGATTCACGGGAAAAAAAAAAAAAAAAAAAAAATTTTTTGGGAGTTGTTCTTTCTTTCAGGTCACTCCTAACTTAGAATCGACGTAAGGTCCCTGGGCAGCAGGGACCTGGGCAGTCCCTGACTAAGGCTCTGGGCGGATCCCCCGCCCATCCGGCAGTGTTGGAAACTCGGGCTGGCGCTGCCTTCCCTGTTTGCGGGGCGCGCCTGGGGATGTCCAAGCGTCTGTCCCTAAGGGCCTGCTGCGGCAGGCGGGTTTGGGACGGAGCTGGGTTTTTCTAGGCTAGTAAAGGGTCCCGACTGGGGAACGAGCAGACACGACCTTCCTTCAGAACGGGAAGCGGAGCACCCTCTCTCCCATTTTAACCCTCAAAACCCCAACTCCGCTCCCTTCTCCATTTCCCCTCAAAAAACTTTTCCGAAGTTCCCACAAGTTGCATTTGAGGAAAGAAGTCGTCTCCCTCAGACTCTGGGTTTCTCGGCTCCTAACCCTCCCCTCAACCCCCAGTTTCAGAAGCAAACCCCCCTCCCCTGCCAGCTGCCACCTTAGTCCCTAAACTCGGGGAAGCAAAAACTGCACCTGACAGAAGCCCAGCCCCAGCCCACATTTCTCCGGGCAAAGGCAGATGACCGTCAGCCTGCAGGGGAAACAGGGTGGGGTAAGGAGAGGGAGAGACCGGGGCGGGGAGACACGCTGTCTTCGGGCTGAAGCGCACCCGTCCCGGGCCAAGCTTACCTGCTCCGAACCAGCTCCTCTAGACTAGATTTCCATCCGCTCAAAAGTTTGTCCTTCTCGCAAACGATTCCTGGAAGGGCGCAAACTCGGCCGGTGAGGAGGGCAAGTGAGCCGGGTACCCTTGAAGGCGCAGGCGCCCGATCCAGAGCTGTCGGGGGGAAAGCGGGACTCGGGGGCACGATCGCCAAAGTGGGGACCAGAGCAGTGATGCGGAGGGAGAGCGTTCGGGCGCCGGGGCTGGGGCTACGCTGCTGGCGCGGGACGGCCCGGGACAGGGTGGGCGCTGTAGCGGGAGTGGCGAGCGGCCCGGGCGGGCGGGGCAACTGGAGGGAGAAGTCCCTGGGTCCCTGGCGACGTCTCTCGCTTCCTCCAGTGTCTGCCCCGCCGTTGTGCCCCAGCTCACAACATTCCCTCGATCCCTTCTGGGGCGGCCCTCAGGGCCCCCACAAGGCGAAAAGGGAGGGTGAGGGGATGAGGGGCCCCTCCCGCCTTAGCCCCTCCTCAGCCCCCAAGCCACAGCCCCCCCTTTCTCCCCAGAGCCCAGGGACAGACAGAGAATTGCGACTAGAAATTCGATCGATTGGTACGAGGGACCACGTGGTCAGGGGTTGGCCAATGACCAGGCCGCCCGGGATGAGCTAATAATGGAAGCAATTTGTAACTTTCAGTAGCTCTCTAGGCCTGGGTACCGGAAGGAGGGAGGCGGGCAGAGGAGAGGAGATGGGCACCCCCAGTCCTTCCATCCTCCTCATTCGTCTAGGGGCATCCGGATCCCCTGTTTCTTATTTCCCCTATCACCCAGGAACTGGCAGGGTCCTTTGCCCACTCCTGTTGGCCATGGCGGCTCCAAAGCGAGGTAAGCTGGTCCTCTGCCCCTCAAACTCTTCACCACTCCCACCCCCTTTACTAGCACCTGCCAACCACAGCCTCCCTTCCTGTCCCATTAGTCAATTTAAATCGGATTTGGTTTTTCCTCTTAGTTGAAAGAAAAAAATATCTTTTTGTATTCTTTTGTGTAACCTATCTCGGACTCGGAGAAAATTTTCATTAAAATTAATACAAATTAATACTTTTATTAGGGAGTGAGTGGTACTTTCCTCTTTTTCAATCAATTTTTATACTTGGTGCTTTATGGAGAGTTTACTTTTCTTTCGGGATGTTACACTTTATGTTTTCACAGGTGTTACTTCTTCAGTGATGAGCTCAACTCCTTTGGCCACATCATCCTCCAATTTTGCTATTTATAAATATCACCTAATAGATTGAGTTTATTCATTTTTCTCTTGGTATTTTCAGCTGTTACAGAATCACCACAATTTTTTTTTTTCTCTGTGTGTGGATGAGGTTTTGTGTTGATTCCTCTTTTTGTTTTGTAAATGAATTTATTGTTTGGGAAACTCTGGGGGGTGTAAAAAAGATCTCTTGATTAATTGCAACCTCTTTTAAAGAACAATCTGCTTGAAATGTTTTATGTATTTTCCTCATTTTTATTATGTTTAAATTTGAGGTATTTTACCTTCTTTTAAACCTGACTTTTTAAAAGAATGTGATCTTTTGCATGTTAACCATTGTTAAGGTTTTTATTTTATAAACTTCAAAGGTTAGTAGATTTACTTACTTTTCTCTGACCTCCTTCCCACGCCTGCCTCCTGCATCTCAAAGCCCCATCCCCAACTTCCACGATCTCAGCTTCCAACTGACTCATCCTCTCCTCTCCTCCCAGCCAAGGAGGGATGCCCGGGAAGCAGACAGTGTCCTTCTTGGGTCAGAACCTATGCTCTGGTTCTAGTTCAGGACACCTCTAGTCTGACCTCCAAGCCGGCAAAACCAGTGAGAGCAGAATTTCTGTTCAACTTTTTCATTTGGAACTAAGTTCTTCCCACTTGGCTGTATTCTGGACAACTCTCTGATACATGAAACTGAATTTTAAATCCTCATCTTTTCCCTAAATTCTAAGAAAAATGCAAGCAGATTGTTTTTCTTCCTTAAATGTAAGCTGTTAGCTTAGCAGTCAGCCTTCTGGGTCTCTTACCTCCTGGGGGAGACTTCTCAGACAGAGACACAGTGTTTATTCTTCCTTTTAGTTTTGGTTAAGGTAGAAGGGGCAGGGATCGGGAACTGCATATTGATCTCTGGCTTTGGCTTTGAACAAAGAAGGGTGGAGAGCTGGCCTGGGGACTCTTCTCTTTGGTCAGTAAGATTTGGCTTAAGAGAGAGTTTGGAGTAAATCCCAGCTCTGAGGAAATTCTTTTTCACATTACTGTGAAGATAAACCATTAAAATGGTGTGACATGGTTTCAAACTATTCAGATTCATCGAAATGACAAAAATAAAATTACAAGAGTAATTCATGTTTCCACAAGATCTGCCTCCAGTGACTGCCCATTTCTCTCAGGGAAACAGAACCCAACTGGGCAGAAGTAAAACTGCCGCCCCTCCTCTCTCGGCTTCCCAGTCACATTGACATTCTGGGCACATTTGGCCCAGCCCCCGTCCCTGTTTCTCCCAAGTATGAATCTAAATTACTATTAATAAGGGGCCGCTCCAAGTTAATTGGCATTAAAAGAATTCATTTCAATTTGTTAATATTAAATGAATGCTCTGCACTTTAGCTCCCTTCTTCGTCCTGGATTCCCAGATGAGTGATGGGAAGAGGGGGCAGGGAAGTAGAATGAGGATTTTATTTCTGGCTCTCCAGCTTAGCCACTGTGGTGCCTACCCTGGGGGTGTCAGGCACAGGCACAGTGGGGGCCGGATTGGGGAAAGTCTGATGGTCTTTTTGGGTGAAATTCATTGGTTTCAGCAGGAGTTGTGGGGGAGGCTGGGAGGGGAGCTGAGGGAGAGGGACAGAATGGCTTGGGGGACTTTGTGGGGAGTGGAGGGACTAGGGAGAAAGTGGGAAGGGAAAGAGACAGAGGTCGGTAACAGTTTTGGAGAACAAAGGTGGTAGGCTGTGGGGGTAAGGCAGGTTTGTGAAGAACTTGTGCTAGGAACTAAACAACTCATCTAGAAAGGAAGGGACTTCGGGGATGGGGTGGGGAGGGGGTATTTGAGGCAAAACAGCTATGGGTTCTGAAACCTTTTTTTTTTTTCTGAGATGGAGAGTTTTGCCCTTGTTGCCCAGGCTGGAGTGCAATGGGACAATCTTGGCTCACTGAAACTTCCACCTCCCTGGTTCAAGTGATTCTCCTGCATCAGCCTCCCGAGTAGCTGGAGTTACAGGCACCTGCCACCAAACCTGGCAAATTTTTGTATTTTTAGTGGAGACAAAGTTTCTTCATGTTGGCCAGGCTGGTCTTGAACTCCTGACCTCAGGTGATCCACCCGCCTCAGCCTCCCAAAGTACTGGGATTACAAGCATGAGCCACTGCACCCGACGGCATTCTGAAACTATTCATATTTAGCTGTGTGACTTGGGGCAAGTTGCTTAACTTTTCTCTCTGCCTTCATTTCTTCACCTGTAAAACAGGGATAATGATAATAGAACTTGGCCGGGTCCGGTGGTTCATCATGCCTGTAATCCCAGCACTTTGGGAGGCCAAGGTGGGCAGATCACCTGAGGTCAGGAGTTCGAGACCAGCTTGGCCAACATAGTGAAACCCTGTTTCTACTAAAAATACAAAAAATTAGCAGAGTGTGGTGGCAGGCACCAGTAATACCAGCTACTTGTGAGGCTGAGGCAAGAGAATCGCTTGAACCCAGAAGGTGGAGGTTGCAGTGAGCTGAGATCGCACCAGGCAACAGTGTGAGATTCCATCTCCAAAATAATAATAATAATAATAGAACTTATCTCAGGGGGTTATTCAGAATCAGATGAAATACATGTCCGGTGTTTTCCACAGTGCTTGGCACATAGAAACTGCCAGTAAATATTAGCTCTTTTCGTGGCACAGTGGTTAACAGGATGGATTCCACAGCGAGGTGGTCTGGTTTTGAATCTCGGTCATTCCTTATATTAGTTGTATGACCCAGACAAGTGACTTCACCCCTTGTGTTTTAGTTTCCTTGTCTGTAAAATGAGGTTAGTACTATCTAGTTCAAAGGCTGCTGAGTCATACGTACAAAGAGCCTGGAACAATACCCATCCCATAGGAAACACTATATAAGCGTTAGTTATCATTGGTATTATTGTGCTTCTGATCTAGAAAGGTCAGAAACAGAGGCACAGCTGAGCTATTACTAATAGGCTAAGACTGGAATCCGATAAACCCTTTCACTCCTATCCCTGAAGCTAGTCCTATAACTGGGGCTGCGTAAGAGGGCTTAGGGAGAGATCCCATAACCCTGGAAGCTGGGATGTCCAAGTGCTTCCTCTGCTGTAGCTCTTGAGTTGGTGGTACCTCTAACACCCATAGATTTGAAGTCACTTCTTTTCCCCTGGGTGGGGCTGGGGAGGGGCTGGTAATGGGAGAATTACCTTCTTGGTCTAATAGCTCCCTTTGGTAGACAGTTAGTCCTGGGAGTGTGAGTTGTGGGAGGTTGGGTAGAGCAGAGGAGACTAAATATCCTCTATGTACCAGCCCGCACACACTTGACCTCACCAGAGGGTGGGGGAGACAGAGATTCGAAGAGATGAAGTGATCTGACACAGTCCTAAAGCTAGAACTCAGCGGAGTTAGAATCTGAACTCTGATCTGCCAACGACAAACTTGAAGCCCTTCCGTTGCTGCATGTTTTTTGAAGGGAGGGATGGGACACATGTAAATTTGGGCCAGGACCATGGGGTAGATGGAAGATGGGCGCGGATAGAGAGCTGGAGTGGGAAGTGGCCAAGCAGGAATTTTTCAATCATGGAAGACTTCCTGAAAAAAACAGATTCTAGATCAGGATTCAGATGGTCTGGGAATGAGGAGAGGAACTAAAGATGAGGAAGGGAGCCATGCATTGGCAAAGAAGGAGAAGAAAAAAGGATTAATGCAAAGGCTGGGTCAGAGTAATGGACATGAATTTGATTTGTCCTGGGTTTGCCTTGCTGGCACCATTTATTGAGGGCATACTATGTACCAGGTACATACATGATCACATCTGATGCTCACAACAGCCCTGACAAGTGGGTTTCTTATCACTATTTCCAAAAGAGTTCATTGAAGTTCAGAGAGCTTAATCCCTGCTTTAGGTTACACAGTGGTAGCTGGGTTTCCTGGCACCGGAATCCATGCCTAGGCTGCCTCTGAGCATGGCTTCTGTGTCCCAGTCTCAACTTCTATGGCTGGTTCAGGTCCTCCTGTTCTCCCACGTTTGTAGTCACTCCTGGTGACTGGGAACAAGGGGTTAGAGCGTGAGCTGAAACTCAGAGAGGGAGTGGCAGGCAGGCAGTGGGGACAGAAACTCTTCTCACATCCACCCACGTGAAGAAGAGGGATAGAAGGGTGATCTCTCTGGAGCGAGTCTTCCAAGCCACTTTCCCGAGACTGCTGATCTTTGGATGAATGGCAGGGACCTGATTGGGTGTGTGTGTTGGGAGGTGTTCACATTGTTTTCTGGGCTGTGGACTTCATTTCCCTTCCTCTGGGAAGAGGACAGTTCAGGTGTGGGTTTGAGCCCTGGATGAAGACTGCCCTTTGTCCACTAAAATCTCTTCT